GGTTGTGGTGGTAGTGGAGGTGGTGATGGTGGTGGTGGTGGTGGTAATAGTGATGGTGCTGGTGGTGGTGTTGGTAGTGATGATAGTGTTGATGGTGGCAGTGGTGATGGTCCTGGTGGTGATGGTGATGATGGTTGTGGTAGTAGTGGTGATCATGGTGGTTGTGGTGGTAGTAGTGATGGCAGTGGTGATGGTGATGGTGGTGGTGGTAGTGATGGTGATGATGGTGGTGCTGGTGGTGGTAGTGATGGGGGCACTGGTGGTGGTTTTGGTGCTGATGGTGGTGATGGTGGTGCTGGTGGTGGTGGTGGTCACGGTGGTGGTGGTGGTGATCATCGTTGTGGTGGTGGTGGTGATGGTGGTGGAAGCAGTGGTGGTGGTGATGGTGATGGTGGTGATGGTGGTGGTTATGGTGGTTGTGGTGATGGTGGTGGTACTGGTGGTGGTGGTGGTGATGGTGCTGGTGGTGATGGTGGTGGTTGTGATGATGATAGTACTGGTGGTGGTGGTGGTGATAGTGGTAGTGCTGGTGGTGGTGTTAGAGGTGGTTGGAGGTGGTGATGGTGGTTGAGCTAGTGGTGATGGTGGTGGTGGCAGTGATGGTTGAGGTGGCAGTGGTGGTGGTACTGGTGATGGTAGCAGTGGTGGTGGTGGTAGAGGTGGCAGTGGTGGTGATGGTGATGATTGTACTGGTGGTGTTGGTGGTGGAGCTGGTGGTGATGGTGGTGGCGGTGGTGGTGATGGTGGTGGCAGCAGTGGTGATGGTGGTGGTAGAGGTGGCAGTGATGGTGGTGGAGGTGGTGGTGGTGGTGGTGGTGGTGGTGGTGGTGGTGGTGGTGATGGTGGTGGTACTGGTGGTGGTGATGGTGGTAGATGTGGTGGTAGTGGTGGTCTATCTTCATGATGCAGCAGGCTGGTAGAAGACCCCAAAAAGTTGATTTCAAGAGTAGCTGGTAGTTGTGGTAGAACCAGTTTTGCCATTCTTTTGCCAGGAAAAACTTGTGCTTGGCATCACTACTTGTGACACACCTCTTCCGAGTCCTAGACTAAGTGCCCTCTCTGAGCCTCCATAGCACCCTATACCACTCACTCCTACCATAGCGTCTGTCGCTCTCTTGTCTGCCCTCTCAGTAGAATGGAAGCTCGATGGGAGTGAGGAGAGCTTTTCCTTTTCACATCTGCATCTCTAGCTCTCAGCACATTGCCTGGCACAGAGTTGGCACGCTGTAAATAGTTGTTGCATGGATGGATGGATAAGCAGACAGGTGGACACATGCATGAATGAATGAACAAATGAATAAGTGTATAAATGAATAAAAGAGAATCAGAGAGCTACATGCCTGGAATTGGGAATTATTCCTACCTGAGGGGTTCCAGAGAGTTAGAGCTAGAACTGGGGATTTACCATCTGCTGGGGTTTGCCTCCTGGTAGAATGACGGATCAGTGGCAATGGCATTTTACCATAGCCCAAGGACATAAAGCGTTCCGATTCAGGAAGCCTCTTTTCTGAGACTGAAGAATCTCCTAGCTGAGACTATATTTCTCCAAAGCAGCCCTAGCCATATGGGAAGTCATTCTGGATGAAGTCACCCTATGATAGTTGAAAAACACAATACAGTCAACACCTACTCTGCGATGACAGCATGCATCTTCCCTCTAGCGTTCAAAGCTTACTTTGGCCTTGTGAAGTAGGCATGATCATTCTATAAAGAAGAAGACTGCACCCAAAGATGCAGAGTGGCTGGCTAGTAAGTACAGAGTCAGAATTCAAACCAGCTCTGTTGGCTTCAGTATCCCCTGTGGCTACTTGGGAAAGCAAGATTGATGAAAAAAGGAAGAAATTCTGTTGGTTAGAGTAACACTCGCTGCTGTAGCAAACTCTGAAATTTGTAATTGCTACAACAATAGACGTGTGTTTCTCTCTCACGTAAAGTCTCAAATGGGATTCCTGGTGAGCAGATGGGCCTTCTCCAAGAAGAGATTCAGGAATCTGTGCTCCCTCCATCCTGCGGTACCATCAACTTCAACACGTGACTTCACGTTGCCACGCCCATCTGCTTCGAGCTGGCAGCAGGGAAAAGTGTGGGAGAATGGGAGGTTTTATGGAGCAGATATAAAGGTGGCACACGTCACTTCTAATCACCCTTTGGCTAGAACTCAATTACTTGGCCAGTGCTTACCAGCGATGTAACTTCAACAGAGGCTGCAAAATACAGCGCAGCTCTGTGCCAGGAAAAAGGAGGCAATGAGTTTGGTGAAGCTAGGCAGTCTCCACCACAACTCATACCCAACAATCGGGGACAGCAATGAGATTCCAGGACAGCAAAAGCCCAACTCAGCCCTCCACTCAGGTACAGTAGCCCTGTAGACAAACTTGCAGGAAATCAAATTTGAAGCTCTGTCTTGGGCTGCACATGTGCCCAAAGCCCTGTTTATTTTATCCCCTTCGTTGGGGAACTGTTCCTCTCGAACTTCAGTAATGCCAATCCTAGTATCCCTAGACCCCTAGCTAGAGGTAAGCATATGACTCAGGTTTAAGGGTTGGCATTCAGGGGGTGGTTTAGGGAAGGTCATGTGATCCTAGAAGAGCCTGTTGGCTTGCTTCCCTAACCAATCAAGAAGGCTTTGCTCTTAATTTTCTGGTTACAGGGTTGCAAGAATGGAAGTGAGGAGTGGTCTGACATCATGCCTGCACCCTCAATGAAGAAAGCCAGAAGAAAGAAGGCAGCATGCAGAAAAGAGCAGAGAAAGAGAGAGAAATGACAGCGTTCAAGTCCCTGGCTCTTTGGCTACTCCTCCCCTGCCTTTTTCTTTTCTTTTCTTTTCTTTTCTTTTCTTTCTTTCTTTCTTTCTTTCTTTCTTTCTTTCTTTCTTTCTTTTTTTTTTTTTTTTTTTTGACAGAGTCTCCCTCTGTGCCCAGGCTAGAGTGTAGTGGTGCAGTCTCGGTTCACTGAAACCTCCACCTCTGGGGTTCAAGCGATTCTCCTGCCTCAGCCTCCCGAGTAGCTGGGACTACAGGTGCACACCACCACGTCCAGCTAATTTTTGTACTTTTAGTAGAGACAGGATTTCATCATGTTGGCCAGGCTGGTCTCGAATTCCTGACCTCAAGTGACCCGCCCACCTCAGCCTCCCAAAGTGCTGGGATTACAGGTGGGAGCCACCACACCAGGCCACCCCTGCCATTTCTATGGTTTGATTGTGTAACCCGATATATTCCCTCTTTGCTTAATCTAGTTCCAATTGAGTCGCTTGCAATCCTAAGATTTTTGCATTAACACATCCAACATGCCAGACACCAAGAGAGATTCTAGCAGGTAGATGAGCTTTGACAACAAATCAATATCAACTCCCACAATGCTTTTGTCCAGTGTTAGCTCTGCTCACCTGTATTCTCTCTCTCTCTCTCTCTCTCTCTCTCTTTTTCACACACACACAAATCTTCTTGCACACTGGGTGTCCTCCCTAAATGACACATTGAAATTCTAACTCCCAGTAACTCAGAATGTGACCTTCTTTAGAAACAGGCCCATTACAGAGGTCATCACGTTGAAACAAAGTCATTATGGTAGACTTAATCTGGTGTGACTTATGAAAGAGAGAAATTCAGACACAGACCTGCACACACAGAGGGAAGATAATGTGATGAGACATCATCAGGAAAATGGACAATGCCACGTGAAGATGAAGGCAGAGTTTAGGATGATGAGTGTACAAGCCAAGGAACGCCAAAAATTGCCAACAAATCACCGGAAGCTAGGGGAGAGGGTTGGAACAGAGACTCCGTCTCAGCCAACAGAAGGAACCAATCCTGCTGACACCACGATCTCAGACTTCTAAGCCTCTGAATTTAATAAAATCAATGTTTATTTGCCATTCAATCTGTGGTTCTTTGTAACAGCAACCCTAAGAAACTAATATATATACTTACTTTTTGTCAGATAACTGGGGGACTTTGCCAGTGCTATCTGTTCTAGGAGGAAAAGCAGTAGGTATTTGTCTTTGTAAGCTCTCTGGAAAGGCCTTGAGAAAATTCATTTCTCTTGTCATACTATATATGTACAGGTATGTGTATAGGTACGCGTATGTATATAAACATTGTGTGGGAAAATAAATAGAAGATTAAGGCAATGTAGTGTACAGATGGTGTGTGTGTGTGTGTGTGTTTTGGACATGGGGAAGAAGGTTTCCATAATAATGGTAATACTAATTTCCATCTATAATTATCTGCTTTATGTCAGATATTATCCTTTGTAAATTATTTTTTTCTTTTTTCTTTTACAAGATCCTACCGCTAGCATGTTGGATATTATTCTTGGACATAATAGAGACGTGATTTCATTTAATTCCAATAAGGAGGAATGTGTCTTGATTTGAAGTCAGTTCACACCTGAGTTCGAATCTCAGTTCTGCTGTTTACTAGCTATCTGGCCTGAGTCAGATTACTTAACTTCCATGAGCTCTATTTTCTCTATGGACTAAAAATTTCTATTCCATGGAATTTCGGTAAAATTAATGCAATGATATATATAAATTGGGTGGCCTATAGGAAGCCCCCTAATAAATGTTTGATAGTATTATTCATCTTCAGAATCACCCTCTATGACAGGCATTTATAATTCCCATTTCTCAGATGAAGAAATGAAGTCCCACCCAGCTAGTAAGTGACAAAGAACTGAATTAGATGCAGATCTCCCTGGTAGCTCCAAAGTCAAGGTCTCTCTCCTACGCAATCCTCCTTGACAAGGAAAAGATGGAAAGGGCAATAATTTGTCAGTACAACACAGTCATGTTTTAGGTGAATTTGAGTTACATGTATTTGAAATTGTGTAATACGGAACATTCATAAGGTCTCATTTTGTGCTCAAAATGAGAAATGGTGCAAATCCCCTGAATTAAAATAAAATCAAGAATTGCTCATGTCAAAACTGCTCAGACAAGTGAATTGTAAACTGTGCCACTTCAGTTCTAAAACAGAAATCCTCTCTTCCTTTTGCAGATATCTCGTAGACTACGCTGCTGTTCACACAGCTCAGAACTCCAAGTGATTTTGGTGACAATCGAAATGTGATTTTGTTAACATCCTATGGCCATGTCATGTGAGCATTCATAATGTGATGGCACATTAAAGCACCAGGAGCAGTGCATTTATTCTGCACTTTAGATGTCATAAAGAGGCTCTGCAGAAGACCAGACAGCCATTATGATATTATATGCTTATAATTCAGCAGATTGATTTCTGCAAAATATCAGAGATCATGCCGAAGAAATGAAAAGCACCATTAAAAAGCAATTATGTACCAACTGGTGTAGATTTATGTGCACTGGAAATCTACTCTTTCATACTTTAAATGTATTAATGTGGGAAAAATTGCTTTGAGTTACATAAGTTTTGGCTAATGCAGTCTTCAGGAATGTATCCATTGTATAAAATAAACTCATCCTAAAGATATTATCATTTACTTCTAAGAACTAAAATACCCAATGCATTTGCTAACTAAATTGCTCATGATAATTTATAAATAGAAAGTTTGATTTATATACATCAGTCTCTAAGGAGCTTATCATGCGTAACCTCTGGGGACACTGAGGAAAATGAATTTTTCCAGTTTGTAAGCCTAGGGCCTGCCTTTGTACTGTGACAACTTAGCATGCACTAGCATGTAGCATATCTGGGTGGACCTCAGTTTTCTCTTTCCATGTTGACCAAACCTGGACAAGAGCCAAGGCTTTCCGAGAGGCAAGTAGAAGATGTATGGTGGTGTGCACTATACAGTTAGTAATAGGAGCTACCACTTATTGGGTGTCTTTTGTGTGTGTGTGTATCAGACATGATTCTAAGTACTTTATGTACATTATTTTATTGACCTAAAAATCTATGTGCATGAACAAATGAATAATTGAAAGCACAGGAATGTTGACTAACTTGTCCAGATTATTAATTGGGATGTGGCAGAGATGATTGTTCTAATATCTCCAATTTACTTTTAAATATTTCCATATATACTGTGGGATATCATATGTATTACTTTCATTAAGCCACAACCCAGGTGGTCAATTCTTTTTTTTATTTTTCATATTTAGAGACAGGGTCTCACTATGTTGCCCAGACTGCCCTGGAGCTCCTGGGCACAAGTGATCCTCCTGCCTCATCCTCCCAAGTAGCTGGGATTACAGGCAAACGCCACTGCGCCATGCCCAGGTAGTCTATCCTTGTTTTTTTTTTTTTTTTTGAGACGGAGTCTCGCTCTATCACGGTGATCCAGGTGGTCAATTCTAAGCAAGAATTCTAACCCAGGTGGTCATGGGGCAATCGACCCAGGAAGTCTGTGCCCAAGCGGCAGCTGCTATACATGCTTCAGTTATTTGTATCTTGGCAAAGAGCTACTGTGTTGCCAATCAGCACAAGGAATGTCAGACACAGGTTTTTATTTCTGATCCTAATGACTTGTCAAATAGCATGATGGATTTTAGAAATAGGCTGTAATTTGGGCATTAAAGGTATTTAAAATATGTGGCTTGGCTAAAGTATTTTACAGATACTCGCACAATTGTACAAATAGAATATGATGACCTTTGACTCCCGTAGTCTTCACTGTTGCGCTCTAGCTCTGGGCTAAAGCCCTAACTGGTTCCATGTAAAGCCATGACTCAGAGGGTCGCAGATCACTCTCCATCCAATGCCAGCCGTCAAGGTAACAGAATCCTGTCTCTAGAGGTTCAGCATGTCTGCTTTGGATCACCCTGTCACGCAATGTGGTAGATGAAGCACCTAAAGTGACAGAGAGTTGGGGCTTCTTTTAGCGTTAAAGAACCAGTTGCAGAAATGGCTCTGGACTTGCTTGCTAATAAATGTTTGCTAAATAAACAAGCAACTAAATAAATGAATGAGGCAGAACTATAACCTGGAAGCATAATTGTGAGGAAGGGAGTCACTTCAAATCTCTTCTGAGACTATAGAAGAAACCAAGAGCTGTGTCTGACCAAAGTGACTCAGGTGAGTTTTCAACAGAGATATTGAACCCAGAAATGTTTGCCTGTCTCCAGAAGCAGACCTTGCTCTTTAGAGCAAGATCTATGCTGGAAAAAAAAAAAAGCATCATGGTTTCCACTACAGGGTCTCACTCTGTTGTGCAGGCTGGAATGATCTCTCCTGGAAATGACTGGCATAGTTGAGGGGAGAAAGGACCGGTCAGCTCTCGGTGCTCTCCTGTAAGCCCCTACTGCACTCACCTATTTGGGTCAATGGGTCAGAGATGACCCATACCTTTGACTCATGGAAGTAGGCCAAACCCAGCTGAGATGTTATCAAAAGGAAGTTGGACCAGACATAAATTATGCAGCATGGGATAATTCTTGGGGAGTGGTGTCACAGTTTGAAAACCAGAACACATATTCTCTTCAGGAAGCCATCGTGCTAATCTGCGGAGAGGGGAATGTGTTTCCCATGGCAGGCATCACTTGCTGGGTGTTATGGTCTGTCTCCCTGTCCTTTGCTCCTTAGTGTCCGGGTTTAGGTCTGGGTCTCGATACTGTCTGGCTTCTCATGTCTCCACCCACATCCAATGTGCTGGATTGTAACAAGATTTTGGACAGAATTTCTTTACTTCTGGTTTGATTAGTAAGTTATGGATAAAACTACCAAGCTACCCCAAACTCCAAACTCTGCTTGACAGCGGGGCATCTTAAATAGTCACCTTGCCACAAATTCTGCCTGTCTCTGCTGAGATGATAAATTATGTTGATTTTTGCAAGTCAATCTTGAATTTCCACAACAAACTCCTTGAATAAATAAACTTGGTCACAATGTTTTATACTTTTTATACACGGCTGAATTCTGGTTACTAATGTTTTATTTAGGACATTTTCTTTCTTTCTTTCTTTCTTCTTTCTTTTTCTTTCTTCTTTCTCTCTTCCTTTCTTCCTTTCCTTCTTTCTTTCATCTTTTTTTTTTTTTTTCGATAAGGTCTCGCTGTGTCACCTAGGCTGGAGTGCAGTGGCAAGATCTTGGCTTGCTGTGACCTCCACTTCCTGGGCTCAAGTGATCCTTCCACCTCATCCTCCTGAGTAGCTGGGACTGCAGTAATGCACCACCACATCCAGCTAATTTTTGTATTTTTGTAGAGATGAGGTTTCACCATGTTGTCTAGGCTGGTCTCAAATTCCTGGCCTCAGGCAATCTGCCCTCCTCAGCCTCTGTATTAGCCTGTTTTCACAGTGCTGATAAAGATATACCCAAGACTGGGCAATTTACAAAAGAAAGAGATTTAATTAGACTTACATTTCCACGAGGCTGGGAGAAGCCTCACAATCATGGCAGAAGGCAAGGAGGAGCAGGTCATGTCTTACACGGATGGCAGCAGGCAAAGAGAGAGATTGTGTGCAGGGCAACTCCTCTTTTTAAAACCATCAAATTTCATGAGACTTATTCATCATCACGAGAACATCATGGGAAAGACTTGTCCCCATGATTCAATTACCTCCCACTGGGTACCTCCCACAACATGTGGGAATTCAAAATGAGATTTGGGTGGATACACAGCCAAACCAGCCTTCCAAAGGGCTGGGATTATAGCCATGAGCCACCATACCAGGCCTACAATTGGTACTATTTCTTACTTAAAGTCTTTATCAAATTCTCTAGTGAAGCCATTTAGGCATAGAGTTTCATTTGTAGGAAGGATTAAACTACAGATTCTATTTTAAAATGTATTTATTGGACAAATCAGAATTCTCATGTCCACTTTGGCCAGTTATTTTTCTAAGAATTTGTCTGATTTATCTAAAAAGTTTGGCTTTATTATTACTTATAATGCCACTTTGTGATCTATTTAGCATCAAAGGTGAGATGTTTCCTTTTCCATTTCCAGTACTGGTGATGTAAGCCTTCTCTACTTTGTTCATGATCATCCTCATCAAGGCTTTACTTTTCACTTTGCTGAATTGTACAGTGTTTTCTGGTTCATGTGGCTTTTTTAAAAAAATCTTTGTAATTTCCTTCCTTCTATTATACCTTCTTTAAGTAAAATTTTCTGTTTGTCTTCTAATTTCTTCAGGTTTATTGATTTTTAGCTTTTCTTTTTTTCTAATCTAAATACTTAACACAAATAGAACACTTATGGAAATGTACAATCCTATAACAACAACCAAATTTTGCATCCCAAGAAAAATGTAAAGTTGAGACTGTGTCCAGCTAGACTTATTTATTTATCTTAGAAACAGGATCTAGCTATGCTGCCCAGGCTTGAGTGCAGTAGATATTCACAGCAGTGATCAAGCACATTGCAGCCTTGAATTCCTGGGCTCCAGCAACCCTCCTGCTTCAGCCTCCTGAATAGCTGGGACTACATGTGTGTGCTCTGTCACCTGGGTCTAATTAAAATTAAATTAATGCAGCTCAGTTTATATTTCATCATTACATTATTTGAATTCCATCACTAAAAAGATCCATTAAATTTTGTAAATTAAAAACATCAGGCCAGGTGCAGTGGCTCACACCTGTAATTCCAGCACTTTGGGAGGCTGAGAAGGGCAGATCACTTGAGGTCAGGAGTTCGAGACCAGCCTGGACAACACAGTGAAACCCTGTCTCCACTAAAAATACAAAAATTAGCCAGGCATACTGGTGCACGCCTGTAATCCCAGCTACTCAGGAGGCTGAAGCACAAGAATTGCTTGAATCTGTAGGTGGAGGCTGCATTGAGCCAAGATGGCACCACTACACTCTAGCCTGGGTGACAGAGCAAGACTCTGACTGAAAAATAATAATAATAATAATAAATAAAAATAAATAAAAAATAAAAACATCATTTACAGTTTTGCCCCAGCTTCACCAGTCCCACCAAAATAACAGAGAGTGGCTTAAAAAAAAAAAAAAGATTTTAACTCACAAGGACAAAGAGAAAAAGAAAGTAGAAAAGAAAAAGAAATATTTTGGAAGTTGGAGAGCATATGGGACAAGTGACTACCAACTTAGCTGACCAAAGGAAGCTGGAACCAACTGGGGGCAGCCTGAAGTGGGATGATTTGAGACAAAGAACCTCAGAAAGACTCAGGAGTTGGTGGCCCCAGGATGCAATTGAGGCTGAGAACAGAAGACTGCTTACAAGCCTATACAGAGGTGCATAGATGCCCCCAGATCTGCCAACTGCTATCTCCAGTCTCAGAAGTCCAGAGTTGACCCTCCAAAGAGGGTTAGCCAGAGAGACTCCAGCCTCAGTGACATCAGGGCAGGGCACTGTACAGAAAACTGGGGATCAACTGGAGTTCTACATCCTGTGGGCCCTCATCCCCTTCCCTCCACT